CGCCCTACAGCACCCCCTCGCCCCTCTCTGGGCTTGCCGCGGCGGCGATTGTCTCGCCCGGCGGTGGCGGTGCGTGGATCGGGCCACGGCGCGTTGATCTAGGGCGGGCGACTGTGTCCGGTGAACGGCGAGCGGCAGCGGTCGAAGACCCAGCCTGCTCTCCCTCCCCCTCCCCACCAGTCTCTCTCTCTCTCTCTCTCTCTCTCTCTCTCTCTCTTCCTGCCTTCCACGCACTCTCGTTGATCTGCTCCCTGGCGCCCCGGAGCTCTCCTCGATCCGCCTCCTTCTCTCAGATCTGCTGCCGCGATAAACAGCAGGCGCGGCCGAATGTGCTGTGCTGTTAGCTAGCTGCTAGGAGATGCTAGGGCCTGCGCCGACGGAACCCAATGTGTCGTGCTAAATTGATCTTCTCAGTTCCAGCAGCTGGGAGATGCACAGCGTCTTCGCGCTCTGGTCATTCATGTGCACTTTGTATATCTTTGGATAAGTGTAAATTTTACAGAGTAAAAGAGTACTGCTTTTTGTCTTGTGTAAGATTAGAGAATAAGAGAACCACCTCCAGTTATATCCTACGGTCAATGTTGTCCTGACGAGTTTATGTAAAACAAGGAAAATTTACCTACAAAATGATGCCTGATTAAGCACTGACGAGTTTATGTAAAACAAGGAAAATTTACCTACAAAATGATGCCTGATTAATCACTGACCAGTGTGCATGATTAACCATGTTTAACCATCTGTTTAAAATGTGAGATATAACCAATATTAGGATTATACATATGGGAGGTAGATTAATCGTAAGTACCAATTGAGTAATTTCTCTTAGCAAACAAATCACTAGTACAGATTGAATAATGCCAATCGGAAGTTGAATAAAATTGCTTGAACATATGATTATTAGTATGATACCAAAATGAGGTTATGAATTATCATAACTTCAGGCTTCAGGTAACATATAATTGTCAGGAGTAGATGATGCTTAATATAAGAAATGGAAACATATAACAGATAATTATCAGGAGTAATCTCACCACCTCACGGCAAAGAGGTCCTCATAACAAAACAACCTATTCACCTCTCATGCTTCCAAGCAAACAAAAATCTGGGTCATCCTGTTAGAGTACGTAATGGGCCTAATGGGCCCATTAGTCTTAGGGTTAATTAGAGATAAGGGTTGCTTGCTTAGGGGTCAAGTAAGCCTTGCTTGGGAGTCAAGTAAACCTCTCTATATAAAGAGAGGAGATGTATCAATCTAATCAAGCAAGAATTAAGAAGGAAATCCCTTCCCTCTTGCCCGGCCGTGGGCAAAAAGGCCCCCGGCCGGCCCTCTCGCGCCCTCCTTCTAGCAGCGCTATAACACATCCTAACCACCTCTCATCCCTCCAACCACTCACCCAATAAAGAAGGATATCCCCAACCCTTCCCTCCTTGCCCTCGAACCAAATGCACCCTTAGTACTGGACATCTGGACACGAGGATGTGCCATCGACCACCTCTTCTGTGCTATAAATATTAATCTGGGGTGGAGAGTTAATTTTGGGAGACTGTTTCTGTGTCTTGACAATCAGATCCAGCCCCTCTGCGCCTGTTTGTAAAAATGCTACAAATATGTTGCCTTTTGATTGGGTTTACGATGTCTATGCCTACTTTATTATAAGTTTTGATATGTGGAAAATAATCACAATATCTATGTATTTGTCATTCTTGGATTGTAGGCTGAAGGAGTGAAAGGTAGGGTGGGCAAGGCAGAGTGAGGGATGCAGAGTTAAGAGTATTTGGATGCTGCAATGGCGCAGGCTGCTATTGAATCTGCTGTGAGTGGTGGCGCGTTGATTGGGAGACCGGCAGGGGTCCTGAGGATGAAGAGGAAGACTCCCTCGGAGCTGCGGGTAATGCTTTTGTTCCCCTGATTTATATCCCCAATCCATGATTATTCTGTTGTCATTGCAAATGCTAATTGGACTAAACGCTCTGTGAAATACATTGTGACCTGTGAAGCTGTACTAAACTACTAATCATGTGAATCAAGTATTAGCTCCAAATAAGCCCGAAACAAGCTCTTAATGCAGGGCCACATTGCAATCTAATAAGCGATATGTTGTTGCTTGATTGTATAGAGTCAAATGTGCAGCAAATCAACCACATTTTCAGTTTGTCACTTGAATGTGTTCTGGAGAAGTAGAGAACCATAGGCATGTCCTGCTGTAGCATGTTTCTCTGCCGTGTTATGTCTCCACATTATACATGAATGTCACAAATGTCGCAAATATCGCTCTACTTTAGCCCCTGTTCTAAGCATTGAAATTTATTCCAATGATTAATTTCTGCAGGGAGAACAATATAAGAGACGCACTTCTGAAAAGATTGCTGATGATCAGTTATTTGCTTCTGCAGCATTTGATAGGTAAATCTGCTGTATTTATATATTGATGTTCTTATTGTGCTTGATCAAAAGTTTGACACCTATCTTGTGGGTTTAGGCCAAGCAATGGGCTTCGGAATATGGAACAACAAAAAATACCCAAATATATCAACACTCGTGTTACAGAGGTGTTCCCAGTTAAAAAATCCAGAAACATTGGAAAGGAAAACTGTAAGGTTAGACATCTGAGACGTTATTCATTTTGATGGGTTTAATGATGCTCATTGCTCTGCAATTCTTTACAGTATCATAGTTTTGATATAAATCTTATATTATTGAAATTGTAAACAGGATGCTTTACTCAATAATGAGAAGGTTCCCAAATTTGCTGATACTGTAACTACTTCACATTCCGTGTCATCTTCATTCCTGCGGTAATTATTTGACTAAAGTTGCTGCATCTTGTATTATACCATGTTTATTCTCTTATGTGCATTGTTGTATCACAATTCAGCGGTGACTCTGTTAAGTTGGACTCTTCTATTCCATCACTTGTGGAGGCAGCGAAACCAAGTTTCAGGAAAGCTGAGAAATACAGTGAAAATGCTCTACGGAGTGTATCCGACCTACACATCGGTGATGACAAGCAACCTGCCTCGAACAAATTTGATATGGTAAGGAGTATCTATCTAGTGCACTGCAGTATTTTACATATACTCCCTCCGTCCCAAAATAAGTGTCTCAACTTTGTACTAGCTCTAGTACAAATTTGTACTAAGCTCAAGACACTTATTTTGGGACGGAGGGAGTATATTATTGCATGCGCTAATCTTTCTTGTGCCTTCTGATAGGAAAAAGTGATGAAAGGGTTTGGAGCTCGTGATGCTTCTGGAGCTTCCAATGCCCCTAACGTACAAGTTGGTGATCTTCCTTTGAAGTCTTCAGAAGTGTGCCCTTCTAAGATAAAAATTCCAGGAAAAAGAGCTCCTTTGGATCTCACTTTAAAGACTACTCTGCAGTTCGTTTCATCATCTTCTGTGAAGTGGTGGGTGTGCATTTGCTTCTCTCTTTCTTGTCTTCCAAACAATTTTCATGTAGAAAGTGCATTCTTCCCAAAGAAACCTCATCTGTCTCTTGGTTGAACCATTGACATATCCTAAATTGGCACTCGGAAAATTATATATGAAAATGGCTATGTGCCCACCTCAAAAGATGCTGTACAGAACCTCAAAATTTGCACACTATTCAATTTCCTGTGCTCCTAGTGGAAATATGTCTAGTAGAACACTAGGAAAGAGAATTCAAAATTACTTAAAAATGAAATTATATTGTCATTCTTATGTTTAGATCATCTGCCTCAAAGACCCAAGTGTCAAATACTCCTGCTAAGAACTCTTCCGTTTAACAGGTGTCACAATTTGAGTATTGCTGGGCCCATCACTCATAGTTATCGTGGTGGGTCTCAAAATTCACGATGCGCAAGGCCTGGGAAGGAATTCTTGTTCTCAAGGGCACTGCAATCATGGGTATATCCACAGTCCCTGTTACCTGCTTCCATCATATCTGCTATGCTCTCATCAAATGCACGAGGAGGTAATCACTGGACTTGAATTATTCCTGTATTTAAAGAATAAACATCCCTGTAATTCCCATGGATGTAAGTCCTTACATTTCCCCCTTCTGGCATGTAGAAAATGAGTTCCTTCTCAAGAGGTATCAGGACTGGGAAGACTCGTTTCAGAATCTTTACTACATGCTCCGCAAGAATCAATTGAACATCTTTTATGGTATCTTACTCCTCAAACCTCAATGATTATATGAAAAATCTAACTATTTTATTGTCCATGATGTCCTCATTGTACATGCACAAAATGGTATATCTTTGCTAAGAAATGCATTAGCTCATGACAGCTGATGCAAAATATGATTTATCTATGTTAAACAGTGAACATTTCTATCTAGTGGAAGATGCATTGCCCAGTATTACAATATGAATTTCTTCCTGCCTTAAACTTTGTTATTAAAATATGAATGAGAACTTTGAGCATGTAATGCCACATTTTGCTCAAGGTTGCCTTCATTTGCCCTGGAATATTTAATTTAGGTTCTAGACTATTACTTTATCTATTTTTTAGGAACTTATTACTTTATCTATGGTTAGTCTCCATCACCGTACTGAACACTGGTTTTGTTATCTAGTTTATACAGCACAATTTGTTGCTCTATTCATCCGTGGAAATTGTTTGGAGAAGCAGTCCTGTAATGCCTACTTGTCACAATCTACACGTGGCATACGGTCACTACTGCGAAAACATGTAAGCTCTCCATTCTGTTTCTTTCTCTACTTTGGTTTAATTTCCACATTAAAATAAATCCATATATGCCTGCAAGTTACTATGGCATATTTCCGTCATTGATCAATCATTATTTTCAGTATGAACTTGCTTGCGATTTGTGTGACACTTTAATCAAGTAGATACGCTTGTTGGTTACTGAGACTACTCCTTGTGTATCTTTTTTATAACTTTTGAGAACGTATGGTGTTTTAGTGGTTCTACATTGGAATAAAACATTGTATTTTGTGATGTACTCCCTATGTTCCACAATGGAGCGCATATAGATTTTTTTTCCAAAAGTCAAGCTTTGCAAACTTTGACCAACTTTGTAGGGAAAAATATTAACATTTAGAATACAAAATACATATCATTAGATACATCATGAGACATATTTTCATATTGTATATGTTTGGTATTATAGATATTGATAAATTATAGGCACTACATTGTGGAATGGAGGGTGTAATAATTGTTTCTTCTGATTGGCCATTTTGCTGGAAGTAACATTGCTTTGATAGTTCATGTCAATTATATACCCTTATGTGGTACCCTAATTATAGGAGTGAGATATAATATTGGTACATTGGTCTCTAAGTCATCCAATTGCTTAAGATAATTCAAGCTTAGTTTCTTTTGAGCTCCGTACTTGCTCAAAATATTTTTTTCCTATTAGGATTATGATTGTAGGACTTTGTGAATGGATTGTCACAGGGTGTTCGCTTTTCTATGCCTCTTTGCAATGCTGAAGTGGAGCAGGTTACTGACGATGACCTGATGGAATTTTCAAAAATCCAAACACTCAATCTGGGCCAGGTACTGTTTGCTTCTTCAACCTTTCCCTTGTTTGCTAGCCAGGCTGCAGTTACTGACAGTTCGAGCTTTATTTTTCTTGAACTTGCAGACACTTCATATAGATGCTTTATCTGAGGTGGACAACACTACAGAGTCACTCCTTTCGTTTACTGGCAATAAGAGCGTTCATGGCTTATATGATGTCTTGTTGAACTACAAGTAGGGTGCTTAGTCTCTAGTAATTATTCTGTTCCTTTTGACCTGCCAGAATTTTATATTGTATAATCTAATTTTGTGATTTTCCAGGTCCTTTCTGAATTCATTATCCGCCACAGACGTCCCAGTGTTATATTCACCGGCGCCATTTCAAAATGGTTGCCTCCATATTCCAGAGGTCATTTCATTTCTGTAGACTCTATTGTTTCTGCGATAGGATTTTATATGGGCTATATCTATGTGTAATTGCGTGACTTGAAATTCTGATATCGTGAATACATGCTTTTGCAGGTCATATGCAGGGAGATGAGGAAAGCCGATACTGGCCTGGCCTCTACTGGTTTAGATGAAGAACCTGGATCAGCGTTCGCTCCTCCGCCAGGCAACATGTGTTACAGCATGGAAATAAAGGATGTGGTTATCCCACCGTGGGTTGCCTCCGGCATTTGTGCTGCGATGAGCTCAGACACGGATCGTTTTGATTTAACGTAAGTACGATCTTCCCTGGCACCACCTGTTCAAGTCTTTCCACGTGCTAAAAAGGGATCGCTTTTGTTCTTCCAGAATCGGGACAGAGCCCTCCTCCATGGGCTTAAATGCCGCCTTCACCTCCATAGGCGCGAGCGGCAGCCAGTCAAAGGCTCCTTCAGAGTCCTCTCCTGAAGGGTGCGAGGCCATTGGCATTCCCAGCGCCGTCTTGGTCCGCTCCTTGCACTCTGCCTCGCTCCGGCGCCTCAGTTACAACCATGGCGAATACCTCGCGCACACAACCGTGTGAGTTGCAACGCCTCGGAGCATATTGCAATGCAAGGCCGGTGCTTCTGTGCGACCACTTTGTTGTACCAGGATCCTGTGTATCCTCCACGCCAGGAAGCCTGGGATGTTCAGAGAGAAGCCAGAAGAGCCTTGTTTGAGGCGTCATCCAACGCCTCAGCCTCTGCAGAGCACTCCAGGGAGTGGGTGTGTGGAGGGTTGTACCTTTTGATCCTGTGCTGTGTAGTTCACAGGACATGTACCCTTGACTGGTAACTTTAATGGAGTTTCTGGTTATGTAAAACGAAGGGAGAAAACAACAACAACAAAATGGACATTTCCTTTCTTACTACTTGGGTTATATTGAATGCTCCGTCTGAACAGTTTTGTGTTGGGCTGGAGTGGGGCGTTGGTCGTCGTTTTATTTTCTCTTGTGGATTCTGGATGGTCGCTTGGTCATGTTGCTACTGTGTGATCCTTACCAGAAGATTAGGTGTTCATTTGAATTGGTAGTGCTTAACCAAGAGGAAATGCAAGTGCAAATACTGTTACTATTTTCTCTTGCTTTTGGTGGGATTTTTTTTTGAAAAGGAGGATAGCCCCTGGAAATAAAAGTTGTGGAGTTTTAAAGTTAACAAAGCCATCACTCACCTGTGCCGGCAAGTGCTCATACATACACGTATACACTCATCCCTATGAATGTACACATGCACACTCTACCCCTATGAGCACCTTCGAGAGACTGAGCCGGCATATCATCTTGAGATTTATGAAGTCACTGTAGGTGCCTTGTTGTCCATAGGAACATGTCTTACCATTGAAATCGTAATTGCTGGAAATCATGAAATAAATCTAGAAATAATGTGAGCACCAGGACTTGAACCGTGGTGGGCTGGGGTTACCATTGTCCCTTTAGCTATTCAACCACAGGTAAATTTAATGGAGTTCTATTTAAGGAAAACCAAGGGAGAGAACAACAACAAAAGGGATATCCTTTCTTAATACCTGGGTTATACTGAACTAGATGGTACGGCCCGCTATAGCTGCATTCGGGATTAACATGCATGAAAAAGGTAAGCATGCCTTCGAGATTGTAGCTCAAAGTCACTAAACATAAACTACACGACAAATGCAACAGTGATCATGCTAGTTCTCCTTTTGGTTTTATGATGAAATTTGATAGCCAACATTTATGCATGTTTTGGGAAATATGTAACGTGGATAATCCCGTTTCTTGGTCTGTTTACATAGTAGTTCTCTCCTACTTGTGATAATACGATGGACAATGCTGTAGTTTTCAGTTTGTAGGAAATGAAAGCTTTCACTCTGCATCTAAGAATACTTACATAGAACCTATATTCAGTTTGTAGTTTTCAAACTAACTATAGGCTAATTCAAAATATGTACCTTGCCTTTTGATAAAAACAAAATTGATCACATGACCTCAAAAGTAATTTGATGACATCATCACATATAAATAGATGCGTACACATATCTGTACAAAATATTTCAACAATTGACTTAAATTTGTAAAATGAATCAAAGAAATTATCTCAGGAAGATATAGTCAGAACCCGAGCTATAAATTGGTCTCAGGTACAAAACTCACAGCATGATTGATTTTAAGTGTGACATCTGATCCCATAAAGATATAGTCAGGCATGAGCTCTACAAAATGATCTCAGAAGCAAGTATAAACTAAAATGAATAATGGCTTTAAATTTGTACAAGATAAAGTGGATAGATTATATTGAATACATATCTCAAACACTACAGAACAGATATATGTGCCCAGAATTACTCACACACTATGTCAATGATAACAGGCAAGTCGTGAGATTGAGAGGCATAATAATTGCATTGTGTGATGATAAATTTGCCGCTGATTTAGACTTTCACAAGCAACAAACAATGTCCAAGAAGCCTAACAGTGCGTTAAATAAAACTTGAGAAAAACACCACCCAAAAAATCGTTAAATTAGGATTAGGGGGGCAATGCCCCCCTCCCCCTTTTTCCCAATAGTTTTTTGTATTGAAGCAATTGTATCTTATAATCATTATTTGTATCTGTAGTTACATCTAAAAGTGAAGAGCTGCTATCACGCTTCATGCTCCGAGTACAAACGCGATGATGAAGATCAAAATGAGGATGCTAGCAAAAGTCGCAGCCGTCATGGTAGTCGACTCCCATTTCTTCAGAGTGGATAACCTATGTGAACACCGGGACTACAATTGTAGAAAAGAATTGCATGTACGTGAGGAACAAGCGGACTAAAACTGTAGGCGAGGAGCAATAGGATTTGTGAATGTTCTCCCTGACAATGTAGCTTTATATAGGGACGGGCTGCTTGAGCATGGGGCTTCGTGACCACTAGATGGTATGGCGCGCTCCGTTGCGCCTGCTGTAGTTGCATTTAACATCAACATGCGTGCAAGGTAAGCATGCAAAGCTCCTAGAGGTTGTAACTCAAAGTTATCTCCGCCGAGCTTGCTTTTCACTTAAAAAAACTACACGGCAAAACCACCAGTGATCATGCTAGTTCTCTTTTGGTTTTATGATGAAATTTGATGACCAACATGTATGTAAAAAATGTAACATGGATAACCCTGTCCGTTGGTTTGTTTACACAATGGTTCTCTCTCCTACTTCTACGGTATGCAGGTGAAAGCACATTTGTTCCCTTGGTGGTTTTGGTAATTCATGTCAACATACATGTTGTTGGACTAATGTTTTCCTTGAGTATATTTTAGGAGGAGTTCAACTTAGGCAAACCTTTGGATGGAGATATGGACCCCTCAAGCTACTAAGGACATGTGTTGGCAAAGTTTCAAGACTCTACTTTTTAGTTTAGTGGTCCAAGATCATATTGAGTTCATAGGAAAGCCAATGCTATTACAAGGGATGAGGTTTTGTTCAGGTCTAATTGCTCAAGTGCAAAGAGATATTGCTCCAAAATCCTCAGTCACACTCACATTCATCTATGTCCAAAACCCTAAAGTCAATCTCGCTCCCATCGATATGCATTCAGCCGGACTCACCGAGATACACTTGGCATAGCCACTGCCTAAGCCCTAACATCTTGGTCTCACCGAGTTGGCCCTTCGGTCCCATCGAAGAGCACTTGCCAACCTTCTGTTACCAACTGATTTCACTTCATAATTTTCGAGTGGTTTCAATCGGTGACACCGTAGTGTGGAAAGTGCTTAGATCAGCTTAGCTCGGCCCCACCAAGAGGTTTCATATGGTCTCACAAAAAATCCTAAAGTTCAAACCTTTTGTATTAATTGGTCTCACCGAGTATTCTCACCTAGTCCCATCGAGTAGTGCATAAAGATGTGTAAAGGTTAGATTATTGGTGCTGCCTATATATAGCCCTGTCATGGTGGAACACGAACACCTATGGGGCCATCGGCCCCTTCGTGGTTCGACAGGGGGGAAATCGCGTAGCACAAAGAGCAGAGGCCGTGGAGCAGCACGACAATGATGACACAAGTAGTTTTTACCAAGGTTCGGGCCGCCGCGAGGCGTAAAACCCTACTGCTGCTTTGGTGGATTGATGGATGGACCGTGGTGGAGGCGCAACGCTCTAGCCCGACAAGGTTGCTTCGGGGAGAGCAGCTACGCGCGTATGGTACACAAGGGTCTGAATCCTTTCTAAGGTTACCACGACACTCCTTTTATAGGCTAAGGGGTTACCACAATTGCAAAACAGTCATTACCCAGCGATTGGATAACTAACAGTGCTATCATACCTAACTCTGTAGACATGACAATGTGCATTAAATGAACTGCTTGCTGTCATGTTGTGGGTGTAGACCGACAAGCTCTACCTTGCCGCCGTAGTCGTCTCACGCCTGTTTGCTTGACACGCCTTTGGACGGGTGTCACATGGAGGTAATTTCCCTCCTAAACGGCTGCCACATGCCAAACGGCAGCCACTTAGTCACCTGAGGGCTCGCCGCCGCATTGATGGAAGACTTGCATGTGGTGAGGTGGAGCGGTGGAGTCTTGGCGGGGAGGTGGATCGCCAGCGGTCCCGGCAAAGCCTACCGGGGAGATTATGGGACTTGTCTTCGGGGTGGCCTCGTCCTGACCGGGCTCGCCTGCCCGGAAAGGGAGGCCTTCCTTTGGTGATTTCTTGTTGCCTTGGCTTGTCTTGGTCTTCTTGATCCGCCCTTTGACTCTTCAAAGGGCTACATCTCTCTGGCCTGGTTTAGTCTTGGATACTTGGTGAAGCTTGCTTCTCTTGCTGCCGTGCCGGAGGCCCGTGTTCGTGCACAAGTCAGGGCAAACATACACCCCTGTTTGTGTACCCCAACAAAAGCCCCTAGGCCTGAGCCATACGTGTCGCCGGGTATGTTGGGTTAGGCCCCAAACAGTGCATGGACACGTGTCGAGGAAGTGTTGCGCGTGCAGCGGTTAGGACGACCAGACAAATCAATGTCCACTCTTCGTAATTACCGTAGGTCTTGGGGTCATGGGATTGTAGTAGTTAATGTAAAACAGTAACTTTCTAAAGAAAGCAGCGAATAGTCGCCCCTTTCTCCATGCTTGTTCCCCATAAAAGGGGAAAACGCGAAGGGGCGCGACTCATTCGCACCCGTTCCTCCATCCACCATCTTCTTCCTCAAGCCAAGCGACCCCCCCTGTGCCCACATTCGTCCTCAACGCCTCACCCGACTTTCCATCTCCTCCAGGGCTCTCGAGGATGGGAAAGAAATCTGCCACCACCAAGGGGAAACAAGTGGCCACCATGAAGGAGACGATTGCGGAAGGGAACAAGAAGAGAGCGGCGGAGCTGGACAAGAAGCAATGGGGAGATGTGGTTTTCTTCCCGTTGAGCTTGGATAGTGACGCCTTGATCGCAAGGTATGGATACATGTGGGGAAGGGAAGTGCCAAAGGGGCATGGTGTGCCCAAGGTCTTGACGGAGGGGAAAAAGGATCCACCGAATTCATATCGATTTTTTGCGCGTATTTCTTCCGCGACCTCTGTCCCCCTTTCTTGGATTTCTTTGAAGCGAT